GTCTTTGACAAATGCCCACAAGGCTGATACTGAAACTGGGCAACCACATTCCTTGTGGAAGGTGTCAAATGTTCAGGATTATAGTGGAGGCAAACAACATTCACTTCTAGCCTAGATCCAGACCAGACTTTAGCTTTTAAATAGCCATGGTCTAGAGCTCGCTCAGGTGCTGGAAGTGGTCTGTCTGCAGCAGTGTAGAGCTCTACACTGTGAGGCATAACAGTAACCAAAGTGCTCTCAACCACTTTTAACGTTGGCTTGATAGCTGGTTTGTTTTGTCCTCACATGTTTTCTTATAAATCTCATGTGACACTTCTAGGCTGTTCCTTATCTTATATGAAATTTACACATTAAATTAAATGTTAGAGACTTTAGAGAGCTTCAGATAAACATGGGAATAAAATACAGCTTATGATTTCAGAGATGTTGTTTTCTGAACCAACTGTATATTATAGAAGTGTTAAACAGATATTTAGTTGCTCAAATTTTATTTCTTTTTTCCCAAGTTATTATTTTTTGGTCTAATTCTTTGTTGACTTTATGAAGTCAGAGGAGATATAAGAGATAATAGCTTTTGCCAACAATCCTTTTCAGTGCTGTAAGCGTGCAGTTGTAGTATGAAATCAAGTAGTATTGATTATTTAAAAGACAGATAATTAAGAAAAAGAGACTGATTGCATCATAGTACAATTGAGAATTTTTGCCTAATCGTATACCAGTTTCTGAGTATTGCAATAGTTAAAAAAGCATAAAATATATAATAAATATATAATAGATGGGCTTAGACTATAGATATTATTTTATTCTCTACTGAAAGATTTTTTTAAATCTACAAATTTGCACTGTTTAATTAGCAGAATGCAGAGTGCTCCTGTTGCTTGAACACTTGCTTGTGCCCAGTGGCAGGAACAACAGAATCTCCTGAGGTAGGACCCATTCTTAGATTGGGAAATGATGCTTTAAAGAGCAATTCTGCATTCTATAGAGAATTAACTAATCATATATATCTTGTGTGACTGTAATGTTTTGAGTTTGGACTGTGTGTTTTGTAAAAGCTAATTGACTAATGAGCCTGATTGTATTTTTGTTGTACTCTGTTGAACTTTTGCTCTGGGCATTTAGTAAATCAGGTCTGCTGAATTGCTGCATCCTTGCCAAGATTTCATTTTCAGATGAAGAGCAATGTACTGTTATTATCCTGTTAAAATAGTTTTCTAAAGGGAGCAATCTGTATATATATCTATGCAGATGCTGTATACATCTGGGTATACATCAGTGACAAAGGAACCAGAATTACTGACTCCCTGCTTCCTTCGCAGGGAAAACCTGAAAATTTGAAAAAAAAAAATTGCCTAACTTTTCAATATCTACTTAAATAAAACATCTAATTAGGGGGTCTGAAAGCATGGCCAAACTAACACAACAAAGATATAAACAGGCACAATTCTTTGTAGTTAAATCTTTCTCATTGGTTTTCTTTAAGGTCAAATGGAATATTACCCCATTAGGGTGGATCCATGGTCTGTATTTCAGCCTTTAGGTTGCTGTTGCTGCTGAAATTCTGATCAGAAAAAAGCACCATCTGTGGGGCAGATGTTCCATCAACCATAAATTCTTATCTCAATTCAAGAGTGCATAAAGGGAACTCCAGACAATTAGTTCTTCCAGCTTGCTAGGGGAGGCAAGACAGAGTTTCTCTTTTGAGATCCGTAAATGTTTTTTTTCTTTTTTTTTTTAAAAGTTTTTTTTCTGCAGACTGATCCCATTATAAGCAGCACCATTCATTGCTCCAATAAAAAAAGCAATATTCTCATAATAATTTTCCATAGAGTTAATTTTCAAGGCAAAACAGTTTTGAAAGTAGAACTTTCTTTTTGAGGAATATCCAATGGCCAGCTAACAACAACTAAGTGCCCGAAGCAAAAATGACTTAACAAATTATTTCTTATAATAAACCAAGCTGTTTACGCTGCCCAAGGAATATGGACAGGCTGTATTGGTCAGACTTCTCAGACTGTTATGCAAGTTAGCAAATCTCTGATCTCTCTGTAAATGACTCATTAATATTGATCATGATGGTATAGTGCAGGGTGTATACTAAGGCACTAATTCCAAGAACATTTCTGTTTCCTGTGGGAGATATTAGTGGCCGTTGATGTGACACAACAATTAATATTAAATTTCCACTCAGTTTTGGGTTTGGCTGGCATAGAGTTAAATTTCTTCACAGCAGCTAGTATGAGGCTATGTTTTTGATTTGTGAGTGCAAATTGTGTTGATAATACAGGGATGTTTCAGCTACTACTGGGCAGTGCTTGCACTGAGCCAAGGCATTTTCTACTCCTCACACCGTCTGACCAGCAAAGAGGCTGAGGGTGCACAAGAATTTGGGAGGGGACACAGCCAGGACAGCTGACGCCAAGTGATGAAGGGATATTCCAGACCTTATCACATCATGCTCAGCAATAAAAACTGGGCGGAAGTTTACCAGGACTGCTATTGCTTGGGGGCTGGCTGGGTATCGATAGGCTGGTGGTGAGCAATTGGTTTTGTTGCATCACTTGTTCTTGGGTTTGGTTTGCTTTCTTCCCCCTCTGGTTTGTGTTTTGGTTTTTTTGTGTGTATGGGGGGGTTAAATGTGTTTTTTTTTTAATTATTAAACCACAATTATCTCAACCCATGAGTTTTCTCACTTTTACCCTACCAGTTCTCTCCCCAGTCCAGCTGGGTGCAGGGGTGAGTCAGCAACTGTGTGGACGTGAGATTCAGGCCAGGGTTAAACTGTGACACCGTATTAAAATCTTTAGCTTAGGACTAGTATATCAGAGTACCATGATGTGAAATACTCTCGCTTTTTAACTCACTTTTGATTTGCTGTGCTTACATGCCATTTTTTGCTTTCTGCCTTTGAAAAGCAATACCTCTCTCTGTAATGACACTGTTTCTCTTTACTTGTAAGTGCTACTAGAACTCTTATTAGCCGTGGAGATATATCATTCAAATAGGAGATGGATAGCTGGCTGTTTAGACTGAAATATAAAACCTCCTGAGATTGAGGATCAGTGGTAGCTAGGATAGCACAATAATTGTAGAAGATTAGAAAAAATTCAAGTCATTTGAGACATCTAACTTGAAAACACAGAATAAGAGGGAAGTTCTTTACAGTTAAATATGCATATCCTAGGAAGTCATCTCTAGCCCCTAAACCAAGAGGTGTCATGTAGCTCACACATCTCAAAGTTAGCCCTTGCAGAGGGAGCTTACCTGGCAGTGCTATTATTGCATATGATTAACTCACAACTCTTAGCAGCATTTTAACTTGTTCACGTGTCTAGGATAACAATAACAACACTGGTGCTTTAAATACCCACAGTAACCAAAGTTGGAGTCAAAAGAGTCAAAAATCAGTGCTGCTGCACGCTCTCAGCTCCCTTTGACTTAAGATCCTCAGTATTTTGTCTTCTCCCATCCCTAGGAAGCAGCTTTTCAACCCATTGTGCCACCTGTAGCCTCAGAGGGAAGATGTGCAGTGCTATGTTTGGGAGCTGTACAACACCCCAAATATAACAGAAGAGTGCACCTTGCTTGGAGACTGTATTTATTATGACCATGTAATATCGTAATGGAAATCCAGGTAAAGTTCTATCAACTGAAAAATGTCTTTCTGGCCGGGAACAAAATGAGAAAGGTGCCATCTGCAATATTCAGAAAAATGCCTTATTATCCAAATACGAATAAAGAAAAGGCTGCTGTGTCGCCAACCCAGCCTCTATCACAGTTCTCTGACCATGGCCATTCTAGTTCAGGAGTAGGTAGCCTGACCCCTTCTGAAAGCAGAAGCAGTGGAAATGAAGGTGATGCAACTAGCAGGGAGGAAGAGGAGCAACAGCCACCACAGACAGGCAGTTGAACAGCCTCTTTGTGAGATTTCTCAGCTTTCCCTCTTGATTTGTTGCCTTCTGCTTCCTGAACACACTCTTTTGCTCTGCCTAGGTGGCCAGTTCTTCTCCTGATGTTGAACTAAGGCTTTGACTGTGCTTTTCTTACACAAAATGTCTAACTTTTAAGACATGGCCAGAAAATACTACCATCTCTCTGCTGTCTCAAGATCTGACCAGTCATGACACAACTGAGGTTTATCTCTCAGGTGAGTCAGTGATATGAAAAAACAAAAAGGCATGTTTGTGTTCTACAGTATCCTGAGGGACACAGTGCTGTGTGTTACTGCCTTTACCTATTCTTCTCATACTCATCTGCATCCCAAGGATTTTGCAGCTCCAAATGAAGAGGTCTGGACTAGTTCCCTCCCTCCCTCTGGACCCCCTTCCCTAGTGGTTTGGGGGTTACAGTGGTAGTGCTGGGTTGATGGTTGGACCAATGATCTTAAAGGTCTCATTTAACCTCGAATATTCTATGATTCTATGATTATTATGGACTGCCCCTCTAATGTCCAATTATTTAAGGTATCTGCTTCAGACATATGACTCTCTCTCCCCTCACACCAGTGAAAGGAAAACCTGGTATTTCCCAGAACTGGTCTCATGTCCTGTTTCCAAGGATTCTGCTAATAACTTTGGTGGACCTTGTGGTAAAGGTATTGAGGAAGGATGTGGTCCTAAAAGGTCTGCTTGCAGCCAGATCTTCCTCTTCACCCCACAAGACAATGTAATTTAGGTGACTGAAGCAGAAGACAGGCTACCATTCACACACAGACCTTGGAATGCTACTAGGGTCCTTATTTTATATTACAATTGTACAGTTGTAAAACAGATTGTAGTACAGAATCTTTCAAAAGAAAAATTGGTAGGAATGGTGTATGTACTGTAAGATACAAGCATTTTATAAATCAGTTCCCTAAAGCACAGCTTCTATTGCTGGTATTATTTTTGTAAACATGCTATTCCCATCCCTGCTGCTCTGCTCCTTATGGTTGGAAAGAAAGTGCAACCTAAAATAGTATTATTTTTAAAGATTTCTCTACTTCATTTTCTTCTACTTACAGTAGAGTTGGTCCACTGTGCACTCCCAGAAATGCATCATCATTGATAACTTCCAGGTATTTGTTCTTGTGCAGATAGCTGCAGAAACAAACAAAACACAGTGATGTGGAAATAGTTATCCATAGGTTACAGGAGATCTCCAGTTCACTTACCTGAACAGATTTACAAAACCAGTATGTATAAGGGTCATCCTACCCCAATAGCATATTTAAGCATAATCAGTTAGTTCATTTTCTACGTACCCAAGAAACAAAAACAGGTTTTCCATTTTGAAAAGAAATTAAATTCCTCAATTAATAAAGTTCCTAATTTATTTAATATATTTTTTGTCATTGTCATACACATAATAAGGACACATGCATGCACACTGTATCTTCAGGTACATATGTGTGATACTGAGGTGAAATAGTTTTGATTTCTTTTATCAGAATGAGGTATGGGGAATTACATTGTTACAGAATAGCAGAATATTCTGAGTTGGAAGAGACCCACAAGCATCATCGAGTCCAGCTCTTAAGTGAAAGGCCCATACAGGGATTGAACCCACAACCTTGGCATTATTAGTATCATGCTTTAACCAACCAAGCTAGCAAATCATGAACAAAGAGGAAAATAATTTCCTCTGTGTTTTGAGTTTGATAAAAGTTTTAAATGCTTTAAAATCCCCATAGTGAAGTGTAGGTTTCCTTATACAGGTCAAAAGTTAAGACTGAAGTTGTGTTATAAGAAGAGCAACAGTGGGAGTAAGGAAAGGAACTTCAAAGTAAAAAAATAATTCTAAAGTCTTGGGAAAACCACGAACAATTTCCTGAGTATCCGGTCCACACTTTCCTGACATATGTAAAGCTGCAAATTTCTCCTATCATTACATGATTGAAGTAAGCAAAGACCAACATTAATTCCCATCACTCTGTAAACTGATGTATAGGAAAGTATGGATTCAGGAGTAGGGAATTTAGACTTGAATTAAAGGGGCATGATTAAAGACGGGTAATGCAAGGCTACTGAACACTCAAAAATTAACAAAACCCAAATGGCACAGTCAATGTTAAATTAATTTATGGGGTTTTAGATTTAAAAGTGACTGATCTAGAATGAATCTTGATTTTATTTTTTTTTAAGTTGGATTCTTGTTTACCATGGTCTGAAACTGTCATCTGAAAAACTTATAGATACATGGATTATTATTGCAGATAATTCAGTAAAGTTCCAAATTGTTTCCGAGAGGCTATGCATTTCTGTCTGAGACTTTTGTTCCCAACAGCCTAGTAGAATTTATAGTTTTTGTGAAAAGACTTGGGAGAAATAATTGGCTTCACTAGCTCCACAATTGTAGGTGTATGAAAACCCCTGCTGCAGGAGCAGTAGAAGCACAGTGTTGTGTTTTAACCCCAGCTGACAACTAAGAACCACTCAGCTACTCGCACACCCCCCACCTCCCACTGGATGGGGAGTAGAGTTGGAAAGAAGGAAAAACCCCTGTGTTGAGATAAGATCAATTTAATAATTGGGAAAAAAATTGTACTGGAAAGGAAGACAGCAAAAAGAGAGATAGAAATAAAACCCTAAAAGCCTCAAGTGTTTCACAATACCATTGCTCGCCACCCGCTGACTGATGCCCAGTCAGGCCCCCAGAAGCGCTTGGGCCCTCCCAGCCAAGTGCTCCCAGTTGATATGCTGGGCATGATGTTCTATTGTGTGGAATATCCCTTTGCCCAGTTCAGATCAGCCGTCCTGGATGTGCTCCCTCACGGCTTCTTGTGCACCTGCTCACTGGCAGAGACCAGGAAACTGAAAAGTTCTTGACTTAGGGTGAGCACTGCACAGCAACAACTGAAACCACCAGTGTGTTATCAACATGAGAACAATCCCCTACTATGTCCAAAACACAGCACTGTACCAGCTACTAGGAAGAAAAATAATTCTATTCCAGCCGAAATGAGGATAAATATACAAATATGCATTAGTTGGGTATATTTGACACATTAAAAATGTGGGTTTGGAACAACTGTCCAGCTAAAATGTACTTCACAAAACACAACAGGAATGTTAATTTCCTTGATGAGGTGATTCCTCCTGGTTATCTAGGAGTGAGAAGGATTGCAGTTACTTGCAGCTAGATCTCCTAAACACATAGACAGGAATATACTGAATTAGCTGAGCAAAGACAAGAGACCGAAGATTAGGTTGCAATGTATACATAATACATACATATGTGTCTGTTTATACATGTACACATGGATACTACTGTGATAATTCTTTCCCTAAGACAGTAATTGAACTCTGGGTGATGTTTTTACTTAATTCAATCAACTTCTGTCACAATGTTTACAAGAGAAACAACTTGCAGACATCAAACCTAGTCATGCCTTTTAACTTAATTTAGATGGCATTTGAAATCTTATGATGAGATTAAGAATGATTTACCATATATAGTAGTCCCTGGAGGAGGATGGAGGAGCATATAGCTCCTTTGGCTGATGGGAATGAAGACAAGAAGCAAGAAGACAAAACAGTCCAAGTGTTTTGTTTCTGTACTATGATGAGAAAGGACCTCTGAGAGAAGGTTGAAAAAAGGCAGCAAAAGGGGTGGTACAGTTGGAGGACCACACTTTGGGGCAGAAATGCGCTCAAACCATTAAGGAGGAGAACACAGAAAGTTGTCAAGGAAGGCTTTAGAGGAACATGTCTGTTTGCCTTGATGAAGTAACGGCAAAATGATCAATCCTGTAAAGGCTCTGAAGGACTAAGGTGTTTAGGCAGGAGAAACTTTTAGCACTTTTGACTGTTCCATTTATAAATTTTATCAATTTTCTGCATAGGAGAAAGGGTAAAGTGCAATTGCCCCAGTAGCAAACTGCAGATGAAAGCATGAGGCTGAAGTTTGAGAGAGCAGCAAGGCCCACAGACTGCAATATTACGGGTAGCTCAGGTCCAGGAGAAGCAGGAGGAGAAACTCATAGAGACAAAAGTATGGCAACAATGGATGACCCAGACCCAATAACTACAAGCTTCAGGATTACTTGACATTTTACCAGCAAGGGCACAGGGCTGGTGGAGGCTTTGTAAGGCAAGAATGAATAAAAAGATAACTGCAGATGACGACCATAAAACATTGTTCAAGAGAAAAAAATGTGGTCCTCAGTCTGACTAAAGGACAGAAACTTTACAAGAATTGCAGGCAGGCTGCATTGTGGATGTAATGTTTCACAGGATGGAGTAATTTCATAAAATTTCAGAGTGCAGTTGGCACAGAAATGATAAGATGACCAAACCTATTAAAGAAATTAAGTAAAATAAAAGGAGAAAGAATTAGATTCTATCTCTGCAGGTAGTAATGCCTCAAGCAGGGAGGGATGTTTGGTATTCTATTATAAGCATTTACAAATGAGCTTGTGATGTAACTAAGAAGGTAAAAAGTGCAATAGAAAGATGGTCACAACAAATTTCAGAGGGTGTCTGTAAAGTTCACAGAATCACAGAATATTCTGAGTTGGAAGGGACCCACAAGGATCATCAAAGTCCAACTCCTGGCCATGCACAGGGCAGCCCCAAGAGTCACGCCATGTGCCTGAGAGTATTCTCCAAATACTTCTTGAACTATGTCAGGTTTGGTGCCATGACCGCTTCCCTGGGGAGCCTGTTCCAGTGCCCAACCACCTTCTGGATGAAGAATCTCTTTCTAATATCCAACCTAAACCTCCCCTGACACAACTTCAGGCCATTCCCTTGGGTCCTGTCACTGGTCACCACAGAGAAGAGATCAGTGCCTGCCCCTCCTCCTCCCCTCACGAGGAAGTTATAACTGCAATGAGGTCTCTCCTCAGTCTTCTCCAGGCTGAACAGACCAAGTGACCTCAGGTGCTCCTCTAGAGGCTTCTCCTCCAGATCCTTCACCATCTTTATAGCCCTCTGTGGCTCTCTAATAGCTTTATATCTTTCTTCTGTTTTGTTGCCCAAAATTGCACACGGTACTCAGGATGAGGCCACAGCAGAGCAGAGCAGAACAGTCTCCTGCCTTGACCAGCTGGCAAGCCAAGGTGTGGAAAAAATCAAGTAAAGATTCTAATCTGTCCTGGTTGAAGTAATTGGCAAATTTTTCATAACATTCGCTGAATATAAGCTTATATTGATCACCATAGTGAGAAATGAGAAGTAAATGCACTTCATCTGCATTACACAATAGAAAGTCTGAGGGAGCCAAACCAGAATAATGCTTCTGGCATGTTATTCACTGGACATTGCCCATGACTTAAGCCTTGTTTCTTACAAAGGAAAATAGCTTATGTCACCTTCTGCTATTGTTTGAAAGAAGCTTTTATTCTTTAGAAATGTATGGCACTCTAGTATCGCTTGGTGTTTGTGTTTTCTGAAACTGACTTTCGTATTCTGTAAATGGCACACTATTGTTGTGAACATTTCCATCAGTGTACAAATTTCCTAATAATTTTATCTGCAAAACAAATACAAAAATTAAAACCAGAGCAAGAGTTAAGAATTAATCCAAGATTTCAACATCTAGGTTGTAGTTTTGAAGGACACAAAAACCTGCTTGACCTAACAAAACCTATCTGCTTTAGTAACTAGACACTATTATACAACCAGATAATTGCTTGTCCAATTTTGAAATATTTTCCCCTGATATGTGAGCACCATAGTAAGTAATAAACCTTCAAACTTACAAATAGAAACAGCTAGAGACTTTGGGAAATTCATAACCATGTGTTACTAAGGAGGGGCTGCAATGTTAGCTGCCAGTTTTCACATCGATGAGTCAGACCCATCAGAATGTACAATTTCCTGATGCTAATTGATTTCAGTTGTTTAAGCTCTTTTATTTTGATAGGTACCGCTTTTAAATGGAAAGAATAAGACTTTGGCAGATATTAGTTTGAGAAAGAAAGCTTATGTAGAGCCAGTATAGTTCCTTCTGAGACTGCCTTTAATCCTGCCATTAGTGATAGCTAAATGATATAGAATGTCACTTAAATACAGTGCAGAAGAGAAAACCACAACAGTGGTATCCACATGTCTAAACAAATGTTTGAAGTCTTAGAAATCACATAGTTGATGTGTAA